ATGATGAAAAGAGAGAACACATTGTTGAATGTTGAGGAGCATTCTGATATTAGCCTTTTCACCACCAGTTCCCTCTTTTCATCACAAATTCACAAAATAGTCCCATTTATAGTCTGCACTTTCCTTCAGAAGATTGGGACAAACATAGCTGATTTTTTTTGGAAAAAAACAGAAAATTTACTCAAATTTTGTCTGCTGGCTCCAAAATTAGGGATCATTTCCAGAAATATTGAAGAATATAAGAAAAAAGTGCAGAATAATTTGGGCGAGAAAGTCAGGCGGTGAAAAGGTTAAATAGTCAAAGATGCCATGTGTGCGATTGGTCTATACTGCAGACAAATTAATGCAATTTGTCAAACTACAACAAGAACAAGAACAAATTGAAAATGGGGTTGCAGAAAAGTTTGAATAGGGCCGCCACTGCTTATAAAATAGTACCCAACACACGCCTGCCAAACATTTCCGAATTTTGTTACAAAATTAATTTATATTGAAACACATTATTAGACTTTAGTTCTCTTTGCTGGGGAGGCTGTGTCTTCGCCGGCGGGTCTTTTAGTACCTATCATTGATTGGTCTATACCGATTGGTGATGACGTGTTTAACCTGATGATAACGCAAGTCATGTTATCGCATCCAGTACCGTCTCCCATCGTGTCTGGTGCTATGCAGTGTTCGAACATCTAGAAAAACGTGAAAAAAGAAAGCACTTTTTAAGTGTGAAATATTATATTACGTGTAACATGAGATAATGCATACAACCAAGGTTGTTTTTATTTAGATAATTTAGAAATTTTGCGAAATCACTACATCTCCATTTCGAGAATTTTTTTATTTTATTTAAACTACAAAAACAAATTAATTGTTCTGACTGCGCTAGGTCTACATAGGCAGTAAAGTTTCCATTCTATTCCAATTACATGTACATGTCAATGAATTTCTAACCAATGGCCTCACAGAATGCATTAGACGCATGGAAAGCGGTTATCTAGCTTTTAGCTTTTAAACGCTTAAGACACCTGAATCCTAAAAAAAACTTTTTTGACATATTAGGCCAGACTTTTTATTCCTTGTTTCTCAAGTTTTTTTAAGGCAATTTTTTTGAGGAGGGCAGAAAAAAAATAAAATTAATTCTTTTTTCCCCATTAGATTTGTGTGATTCTCAAAGAATTGTAAGTGAGATCATTGATCGGAGAGAAGAAATGAAATAAAATTTTATTCCATGTATAACCTGGTTTCTCATCTGCGCGAGACTTCGGTACGTTGATCATGATGTGGCGGGCGGTAAAAAAAAATGAAGATAAAAATAATATTTACAAGTCGGCGGGCGCGAGAAATTACGCTGAAATAAAATTTTATTTTTATTTCATTTTTGGCTCCTGGGCTTAAGAATATTATACACTCTGACAGTACACCGTTGCATCGAAATCCCTGCGCGTCTGTCGATACTCTTGTTGTACTGTCTTTGTGCATGCTTTGCAGTATCCTCGTATTATTAACCACTGAACAACAAAATTAAGAAGGATTCTTTGGATAGAACAAATCACAAACAAAAATTTAACAGTTGAATGTGATCGCGAGACGCATTACAAAATCATTACACGATATGATGTTGCATAGGCTCAGTAATTAACCAGTTTATCCCAAAGCTACGATACCTGTAGAGGGTGCTTGTTGGCTCAATAAAAATGCATGTTTTGAAATCAACAGAAAATGTTTAAGAGATGTCAATATCAAAGTGAATGGATGTGTACAAATATTTAATTCATAGGAAGGAAACTTCAAAAACAATTTCACCATAATCATTGTTTTGTTCCAAAGTCTTACTTCCTAAGGTTATCATTGCTTCCTATGGCAATATTGCTATTCCATTCTTTCTGGCAGTATATTTTCGGTCACTATCATTCAAGGGGTAAAAAACCTGATTAGAGATATATAAAACAGTTTTATGTATGAGAAAGAAAAAAAAAATACTTTTTTCACGAACCTCTTCACATATTGACGATAATGTTCTCGGTTTGTTCTCATCATCTTTCATGTCAAGTCGCGATTTCACAAACTCAACGACCTCTTGACTGCTCATGACGTTCCTAATAAAATAATGAACATTAAGTTACAAGTGAAAATCCATGTCTGTTTTTTAGCTCCGCTCTTGACTTTGTCGAGCAGAGCTTATCATACAAGTGATTGTCCGGCATCAATTCGTGTCAACTTTTTACTTTTTCGACGACTGCTTGAAAACTACAAGCCTGAATGCTTTTGATACTTAGTGTACCTTGGGTAGACCTCTCTTAAATTTGTTCATTTCGTGATCACACCTTTAATTCTCTAATTATGATGAAAATTTTTCTCATATTTGGTAACAAGCAACCTGACGGTCGCAATAGCTCCACTGTCTTCATTATCATGGAACAAGTATCAATAAAGTTGCATTGTGGTTGACTGTTTCGGACAAGTTGTCGAAAATAACATTTTTTACCAAAAATGACAAAAATATTCACTAAAAATCTAAATTTGCATATTGTGAGACGAATTAAACAAATCTGACAGAGGACCACCCATGTATCCTTGCTGCAAATATGATAGCATTTGGACTTGCGGTTTTGGACTAGTTGTCGAAAATAACATTTTTTATCAAAAATACAGTACACATTTCGCCCAACCTCCCGCCCGCTTCCGGATTTCGATCGCTTTTTTTTCGCTCGCTTTGTTCAATTCGACCAACCGCCCGTATTTACAGTTCATTGCCTACTTTTTCATGTACAAGTGTACCATTTTTGTTTTTATGATGTTAAAATAAGAATATATACAATCAGAAATTTATAGAACGACCGTTGAAAAAAATACGGTGGATCACACACGGCCATATAAAATTGGTAATAATACATACGCGTAGTAATAATGTCCACCATAAACAAGATCGAACCAAACATGTGAAATCAAATACGACACTGACACAGACACAACTAATATGAAATAAAACCATTCTATTTTTGGTGGAGAGCGAAAAATGTCTACTGTAGAGTACGGTATTCGTTGAGTAACCGTGTGTAGGGTGACGGTTGTCATGCACGCATGGTTTGGGTTTAACACGGGTCAAGTTGTAGTTATGTTAAAATCCGTGGCACCTATAACAATTGAAGAATATCTGCAGGAATAGTA